CTCATTACAAATTTGTTGAATCTTCTTCACATGTAGAAACTTTGATTCGACATCAGGGGTTGAATACAAAACTATTGCTCTAAATAAATTGGAAAGAAAATCAGCTGTCTACAGGATTTGGGACACCATTACGACGCTCATTCCTAAAGTGGCCATTCACAAAATGACTTTGGCAGAAAACAGAATCTTTTAGAAACCAGCTTCAGGAAGTTATTTAATTTGAAGGAAAATAATCGCCTCTCAATCTGCAATTGCACCGTGATACAAGAAGGAATGCCGGTTAAGGTAGCAGCACATCTCTGAAAAGCTAAGGTTTTGTTTCAACCTTTGAAAATGAAATTACGTGTCATGCTGAAGTTTTATATTCATCAATTACTTCACTAATTCCAAGTCTGTGGTCTGCTTCGGAATACACATAGAGCACAGCATAATCTCCACTGGGCAGTTTCACATGATGTTCTTGTGGCTTCAGTTACAAAAGATCATTCAGATGGAAAATCCCCAATGGATCGCCTTATCATTCAGAACACAGACTCCATTCAAGCAATGAAATAGGTTTCAAATTCATTTCTTAGCATTTCCAGGTGTACTTCTATTGCAATATTATACAATTTTTGTCTAGGTTTTCTGCCATCACCTCTCACACATAGCTTTATTGATTCTATGACAAATAAGTCACTCAGCTTGTAACTACCATGTTATTTGAAATTTCTATTCAAGGTTTTCTGGACCATTCTCCTTTACAAATAGAGTCACTTTCTTATTATTTATTCTACTGAATATAACAAAAGTGGATACAGAGGGAGTGATATTAGCTTTCCCGAATGAGGAATAAAACTGACTTATGTTCTATCCCTGGTTCAGTTATGGAAGGAAGATTCTGCACATTCAAGATTTGTGTACCTTCCTGCCTTTTCCTATTTAAAATGTAAAATTACAGCATATTATAGTTATAAATGTGGTAAAATTATTAAGTTTTACTACTTTGAATAAGAAAACAATACGGATCTCTGGATAACTATCAAAGGGCAAATTTTTTAAAAGCTTGGTCACAAAGTAATTTAAGATGTAATTTTCTAACATCACCTTGCAGTGATAAAATGTTGACTCATATTACTGATCATGTCTACAAACTGTCTAAACATCTGTTTATAAGCAATGAAAAGAATTTGTTGAAAGTAAGCAGATGGAATTAGAGGAGTACGTGGGTAAATTAAATAGAAAAGAGCTGTGGAAGAGGAATATCCAGGAAAACAAGATAAAGGAAAGATCAGAGCATTGAATGAGAGTTATCTATCTGTGGAATAGGTACTCTGCACCTTGATGGACCAGGAAATACAGAAGGCAGAAGGCTGACTATGGGACTATTTCTGACCTCAAGGAACTTACGGAGAAGTGCTTGTGTTTGCACACGGAATCGGGGGTAGAACCGATTGTAGTGAAACTATGTTAGAATGTAATATGATTTAAGCTGCCCAGATAGAGAGAATGGACCTATTAATACTTACGGAATGCATACTTGCAGCCACAGAGACAGATCCCAGAAGTTATGGAACAGGTGCAGAAACCTTAGCTGTGGGGCCAGCAAAGAAGGGAGTATGGTCAGAAAGGCAATGAAAAATACTCTTTTATTGAAAAGAGTACATACAAAGTTAGAGATTTAAATAGGGAAATGCTGTATTCCAGGACGAAGCCTTCTGTGACCCAGCTGGAGCCATGTTGGGCACAGTGGGCATGGCAAGGAGAGGAGGAGAGCAGGAAACTGCTTCTGAGAAACATTTGCTTCCAGTTGGCTGAAACACTTTACCGATCAGCACAAAGCAGCAGGCTGTGTCTACAGTCTAGACATCTCTGTTCTGTTTTATAGCTGTACCCTCACATTGCTTGGCTTGGTTGCTGTCTTCAAAATCGATGACTCTGGTTGCTAGTATGTCTGAAAAAGTCTAGCTCAATACATCAGTTTAATTCTATCATAAAAATAAATGTAAACAATTAGACACTGGTGTTCTCTACGTAGAAAGGACAGACTATAAATAGGTTCTCCCAACTAAAGAAGACCTTAAGAATTATGCAGCCCAACCCCTTTATCTTTCCAAATGGAAACGTGAATTAGTGTTCACAGTAGTGAAATGACTTGTCCACTTTCCCACAACATTTGTAGCAAAGTTATGAATTTACTCTCATAGTAACTTAAATGTTTTTACAAAGTTAGTCAATCAATCTATCTATCAAATTGGTCATTTGGTGTATCTGATCTAATGTTCTTCAAGACTCCTTCACCCTCTGTCCCAACCAAAACAATTTTAAATGTTCTCCGATTGGAAAAAAAATAAAAATAAAAACAGACTCATTTGGTGTAAAACAGTTTGGACACTTAAGTCTTTCCCACTGTCTTTAAGAGAATTGTTTCAATGTTTCAGATTTCTGCAAACTTCCTCCTCTTACTTATTAGTAAGAATATCCTTTTGCCCATGGATACTTCATGAAATACTTCTGGGATTAAGTGTCCTCTCACTTCTTTAGCCCTCACTCACTACTTTGACCTCTTGATCATCACTGACATGCTAGCAGTGTGGCTTAATTTGGAGAAAGGTTTAATCCACTGGGTTGTCTTCTCTAACTTGGCCAGGGTCTAGCAGTAATCAGTGGTTGAGTTGACCTCACTTTTTCTTTTTATTTATTTATTTATTTATTTATTTATTTATTTATTTATTGAGACAGGGTTTTGCTCTGTCACTCAGGCTGGAGTGCAGTGATACAATCATGGCTCACTGCAGGCTTGACCTCCCAGGCTCAACCACTCTTCCCACCTCAGCCTCCCAAGTAGCTGGATCTACAGGTGCTCGCCATCACACCCATATAATTCTTCTATTTTTTTATAGAGACAGGGTTTGGCTATGTTGCCCAGGCTGATCTCAAACTTCTGAGCTCAAGCAATCCTCCTGCTTTAGACTCCCAAAATTCTGGGATTACAGGCCCGAGTCACCATACCAGGCTCAGAGTTGACCTAATTTTAACTCCTACTTGTACTGTAGACCTCTCTGCATTTCTGTAATATCTTCCCTCAGAGTCCCAGGGCAGGTAGTTCATCTGCAGAATCACCAACAGAATTGGCCACATGGCAGACTATCCAACTGTCCATTTAGCCACCTCCAAAGTCCCTCCTTAGAACATATAGCTCTATTCATGCCAGGCAGGAAGAATGACTTAGATATTGAACATCAGCCCTCTGTCACCACACTGTGCCACTGTGTTTTCCCTGATGTGGTCACCCTCAAGCTGTGCAGGGCAGTTATCTGAAGCAAACCCCTTTCAGAGTCCCAAACATTATTCTAGTCAAAAGCCACATCCCTGGCTTTTCCAGACTGCCTATCTGTTTGGAGAGAAAACATGAAAACTCATGTGTCGTCTGCCTCTCTTATGTCCTTTCTCATATTTCTCAAAGTCTCCCAGCTCCACAGTGCCATAAAAAGAGTATCAAATTTTTTCTTTCTCTACTCTGTCCTCATTTCTTAGAATAAATCTGTCCCAAGGCCTACCCCTTGTTGATGGGCAGTATAAAATCTGTATGTTGAAGAAGAAATACTTTTAGCTGAGACTTCTGGATTTGACTTGATATTCTTTAGATAATCTTTAACATCTTACTGACTGCAAAATTCTACTTGGAATAGTAATTCTCTTTGTGCCTCATTTATAACAGTCCTAATCTCTTGACCACAGTCGTGGAAAGATGGATGTCTCAGGCCCACTAGGAGGCAAAATCAGGGGCAGCATGATACAAAAAAGTGATGGCACAACCTCTGTGGTGTGCTGAGAAAATAAATAAATAAATTTAATTCAGAATAGGTACATTTCAGGGATTGCAATCCTACCCTATATTCTAAAATGCCATGAAAAGTAAAAAGAATCAGTTATTTAATATAAGAAGAATCAATCTTTGTTAGAAACTTTGCGTCCTAAGACAAACTTATGCTTTCCAACATTCGATAATATTCCAAACAAATAGGGGTATGGTGACCAAAAAAAACCCAATTTATTGAGGGGAGTTGGAGAGGGTAGAGAGTAGAATAAAAGTAGAATGATAAAATATGAAACCAAGAGAAAACTGGGTCAAGATTAACAAGTGAAAATGAGTAGAAAAGCAAGAATGATTTTTTAAGGGGCTTGAGAAAATTGAACATTCTAGGACAGATATACAAAGAAATTGGAAAGACTCTTGGGAACAACAGGAAAACAGCTAGAAATTATTTTTCTATAAAGTAATAATACATTCCACATAGGAAGTTGGATTTAAGAAACTCTATTTTTCATAGAGCGTCTACATACATTTCTTAAGGGGAATCAATGGTAGTCCAGCAGGGAATTATGTAAATCTATCAAAGAACTGGAACACTTTTATTACTATGTGATTTGAAACAGAGCACATGTGGCTTATCTAACAAACTTAGAGCATATTCTTTAGAGTGTAGTGTCACTGAAATGCAAATGGTATTTGCAATGCAGAGGAGAAAGGTTTGATGTTATTGTTTTGCCCTTTGAGATACAGTGTGTTCCTAGCAGGCTGTTCTTTACCTTTTTTGGAAACCAGTGAGCACAGCTTCTGACTACCTAAATGCTCTGTATCATTTATTTTTGGTCTGTCCAGGATTTTAATTTTATTTCTTCTTTCATTTTTCCTGGTTCCTTTTGCTGATAAATATTTGCCGGAGTATTCTTGAAGTCTAATGAAAGGATATGTTAGCTTTCCGTATTTTACTAGATATATAACCACATAAAATATTTTGTGCTCATACATTTATTCTAAAATATTCATATAGTACCCAGTCCTTGCCAAGACCTGTTCTAATCTATGATTTATATAATTGGAATAGAATGAATGGCCCCTGACATCATGTGGTGTAAAGTCCACACAGGAGACAGCTATTACTCAAATGTCATGTGATTTGGTGCCAGAAGTGCACCGATGTGAGAGACCTGAGTAAGCACAGTGGCATGGAACATTATTGTCTAGCATTTTAATTCTGCCTGAGCTAACAAGGTGAGAGATACACATCATGGAGCAAATGTCATAAATATGTTTCCTTTTAAACAATCAATTTAAAAACTGTTTTTTTCTGTGTATAGTCCTGAGCCACAGCACATGGATTAGTCAGAAGCTTTTGTACAGGACTCAATTATCTGGTGGTCCTGGGCATAAACTCATCTAGAAAAGAAGAAAATTACAATAAATGATTCTCTAAGATATGTACATGTTAGAAATAACAGTTTGCATAGCAAAATCTTTAAGACTTCAGTGGAAATTAAATATACTACAAATATAGTTAAAGACTAGTGTTATTAATAAAAACCACAGTCTACTGCCACCTAGTGGACATTAATTTAGAGACCCCATTACTTTATATTTAGCCACACCTTTGGTCTTGGGATATCTCTATGGTACCTGTGGAAATCAAAGTGATAACTATCAAACAACATTCGTATCAAGTGGGCGGCCCTCACAAGCAAAGTTCTCTCTGGACGTAAATTGTACTATTTCTGCAGACTGTATACCTAATGGAGTGTCTTTCTCTTCTTCATAAATGTTCTGTTACTCCAAATAGCAAAAATGAAAAACCAAAACAAACAACTTTTCACTTGTGCTATAAAATTTAAAATAGAAATAATCTAATGTTCTGCCTGTACCTGACACTCAATATGTTTGGTAGATTTCATTACAGTATCTCTGCTTCATCTGGCATTTTGCTCCTTCATTGTGGTTCAACAGTTTTTCCCTTCTGATTTCATATACCATTGTCTAAAAATCCTCATTGCTAGGACCTATTAACGTCTAATTTCCTTTCCTTCTGAACGATTTTCTAAATGAAACAACAAGACATTTTCTACCCGTGTCTCTGATATATCATTCTCATGACCCCCAGAAAATATGCATTGATAATATCTAACAACGTCATTGCTTCTATTAGATCTCACCATCTCTCAGAATTGCTGCATGATCAAGCTCTTCAATTCAGAAACTCTTCCTTCTGACCACAGCCTTCTATTACTTGATTTCTTAAGCTCCCATTTTACTTAGTGATGCTCTTTTTACAAAGAACACACTCTTGGGTGACTGGGGAGGTGAGGAGTGACTCATTATTTTTAGGAGGCTAATTTTGTTTAGATGAGTATAGGACTTAAAACTGGCACCTGAAAGATGCCAGTAACCAAGTCAGAATACCTGATTTCAAGTGCAGCTTACAGAATTGAGGCTACACAGCCAAACCTTCTTAGATGGGAATGAAGACCCCCCTCTCCATTTGTTTCTTATTTTGGCTTTTGTTTCTCTTTCAGCGGGACAGATCTCTTTCTTTCCTACTGCACACAGGCTACTTCCAGTGACTAGGGAAGATTACTATTACTGCCAGTATCTCAGTCTAGCAATCGTCAGGGGTAAAAGTATTTCCTCCTATCAACGACCAAATAACAACTCCAGGGGAAAAAATCTGATTGGCCCTGCTTGGGTCACATGCTTATGCCTTGGCCCAATCATTGTTGCCAGGCAAGTGAAGTAATATACTTGATGAGGTTTGGGTCATATGTTTAGTTTTTGTGGCAAGGGTTCAGAAGGGAGGGAACAGAAGAGCCTACCAAAATGATTAGACAACCCAATTCACCAAGATCACTAATGTCTTTTTCTAAAACAACTTCAGGGGCTGCTTGATCTGTCACTCATGGAATTTCTACCCTATCCTCTTCTCTCTTCCAGAAGGAATCCTTTGTTTACCCATAATTTATGCCGTTTTATACTTTGTCTCTCTTTCAAACTTTCCTTTAGTTTCTAATCATAGAAACTCAGCAACATGACTTCCCAATCCTAAATTATCAAGAAAATATTTGAATTGCCAGCTCTTCTTTTGAAGCTAGGCACTGGCCAACTTCAGAGCCACCTTTTCCCTATCCCACCCTAGTCAAAGGAGAAAGAATTACTTGATAAAGCACACATTTAGTGAGGGTGGCAGAGATTTCAGGTGAAATAGCCGTCATTGTCTTAATCATGATCTTCAGGACTCTATCTCATTCTACTCAACTATGCTTTCTTCCCCAATTTTGATCTGATAGGCATTTCTTTGAGGCTACTGTGAGAATTTGCAATTTCATGATCATTTAGGGGCTTGTTAATTTTCTTCCAATGATGAGTTTTTGAGAAATTGAAATTGAAATGGTTTGAATAAACCAAAAATTGCAGAAAACGTTAGTTTTATTAGCCTCCTCTGTGCCATACTTATGCAAAAAAAAAAAAAAAGAAAAAAAAAGTCTCTACAACACATCTATTAGAGAACAATTAGATGACCGGCGAGTTCACATCAATTTATTAAAATTAAATCACTAGTACATATTAGGAAACAATATTGTCAACCTCCAGTATTCTCCTCTCCGGGTCCTAAATTTATCACTTTTTAGGGCAAATTGGCTGCTTCATTTTGGATACTGCCCAAGGCTCTCTTGATATGTAGACATTTCATTTGCATACAAAAAGGCACACTGCATGGCTGGATAAACCAACCATCTGGCCTAAGCAATTTATCTGGATTATTACTGAACTGTACAAAACTATGTAAATATATATTCCTAAAATTCCAATTGCTCCCTTATCCATCTGCCTTACTGCCTTTCCCTTCAGCAACCCTGATTGTAGAAAGGATCATTTGCTTCCTCAACCCCTGACACACAGACACACGGATACATATGCACGCATCTTCCTGCTCTATTGACTGTTGTTAGTGAGTGAAAGTCGAGTCATAAAGCCAGGTCACTTGGTCCACTGCCAATGTATGCAAGTCAGACTCAGTCAGACTTCGTAGCTGATTAACATGCCTTTTACTAATCTCTAGTTAAATCCCCATCACACTGTCTCATTTTTCTAAATGCTCATTCTAAAATGTTTGCATTCTCTTCCAGTCCTAGATTCCTTATTCTCGAAGGTAATCTATTTTATAAACTCAGCGCTAGGTATACTAATGAATAAATAGTATAGTGCACCTGTGTGTTATTCTTGACGTTATAGGTAATTTGATATAGGAACTCATTAAATGACGTGAGTTTAGTTTTTTATAATTAAACTGTGGTTGTGTGTCTAAAGTTCTTTTATTTTTGAGATGGAATCTCACTCTGTTGCCCAGGCTGGAGTGCAGTGGCACGATCTCGGCTCACTGCAACCTCTGCCTCCTGGGTTCAAGCAATTCTCCTGCCTCAGCCTCCTGAGTAGAGTAGCTGGGATTACAGGCATGTGCCACTACACCCAGCTAATTTTTACATTTTTAGTAGAGACGAGGTTTCACCATGTTAGCAAGTCTGGTCTTGAACTCCTGACCTCAGGTGATCCTCCCACCTAGGCCTCCCAAAGTTCTGGGATTACAGGCATAAAATACTGCACCCGGCCTAAAGTTCTTAATTAAAGGACCTCTTTAATTATTATTAAGCAAAACTGGATTTCGGAGATTCCAAATGATAACTTTTTTTCACTATTGACACAGCATATAATACTGCACCCTTCCAAAGTTCTAATTGAAGACCTCTTTAATTACGTATACAAAACTGGATTTATGATTCCAAATGATAATTCCTTTTCACTATTCTATAAACTTATTAGTATATATATATATATATATATATATATATATATATATATATATAAACCCAACCTATACAATATAGTGTATTTAGAGCGTAGAAGAGCAGAGACTCTGAAGCCAGACTGCCTGAATTCAAATCCTGACACTTCTACTCAAAAATGTGTGAGTGAGTTTGGGCAATTTGCTTACTCTTTCTGTGTTTCTATTTATTCATCTACAGCAATAATTTGTACCTCATCAAAAAAAAAAAAAAAAAAAGCTTACATAGTTAACATTTGTAAATAGCTTAGAAAACACTACGTTTGAAAAACATCCCTAACCCACCTTCCACAAAAAGAAAGCCCACCTGCTTGGTCTTAATCTGTTGATATATGACTTTATTCCATGCTGGACTTTATGTGTTGGTACATGACTTTATTCCATACTTATTCTTTCATCACAGGTGAAACCCCCGAAGTCAATACCCACTTTCTCACCACAATTCACTGACCCAACTCTTTTTACAGGCAGGTCTGCATTTGAGGAGTTGCATCATCAATTCGGTTGATTTCAGCAGAGGAATACATGGGAGTTTGGGGTAAAAGTTTTAGCCAATAAGAATGAGTAACCATTTGGTTACTCGATCTCGATCTTGCTCTGCAACATTTCTTGCCTTGCACATTGCTCTCTAACATCACCAAATGGCTCATAAATAACACATATTGTTTTGTTTGGCTTTATTTTTAAATCTCTTGCTTCTGTATGTCATCTTCTCTGCCTGTAATAACTTTTCAGTGACTTTATCTGCATCGTTTAATAAGATACAGTTTTCACATGTCAATTCCTCCAGCAGCTTCTGATCAGCCTGTCTCCCAAGCCTGGGTTAAATGCCTTCTTTCATTGCTCCCTTGGTATCCATTTTATGTATTTCGTGGGATATTAATTTCATCTTACTTAAACTATACTCTTTAATACTTTAGGTGTTCTTTGATGGCAGAAAGAATCTATATTTACATATCCCCAGTTCTTTCAAAGCATTTGTCTTTTAAAAGGCACTCCATGATATTTATTGAATGAATGAGTAAATGATTCAATGAATGAATAGTTGCATAGGGGCAGCAAAACTCTCAAGAAATTGACCCTTGAAATATACTCAGTGACCTCCTTCATGAAATTCTAAAACTTTATTCAGTCCAAAGACACAACGCTAGTTATGCTGCCCTCGTGTTTCTTTCATACAGAGACAATGAATCATGCCGAATTACAGCTCTTAAGACCTTACAGCAAATGCACAATGCCCTGTAGGACATTCATCTTTCATACCGCATTGTATTTTTAAATGATAATTGTTGTCATGAATGTTCTTACTCACATTTCAGCTAGTTAAAAATTTTGCCTGCCTCAATAAAATGAAAGATGCCAGATTGTTTACAGATGAATTAATCATGACATTATCTCTGAAACTTTTAAATTACATCAATTACATTGCATTTAGCATCACAAATAACCTGCATATTAAACAAATGGAATCTTTTCTTCTATTAATAAAGATTAAATCATTAACTACCACTACTTGAATAGCAATGTGACTGCAGTCAATGGCTCCCAAGCCAGACAAGAAATCTTACTCTGTCACAAAGTATATGCCATCCTTTCAGAGACATCATCAATCTTTATGGAATTTGGGAACATTCGTTTTCTTTAGAAGTGTTCATCTGTGGATTGATTATACCATTTCGACGTGGTAGGCTGCCTAATGTTGAGAGCTCAGGAGAGCTATGTAGAATAATTACACATTAAAAAATCCAATGCTTAGGCATCTTTGTGAAGCATAAGACAAGCATGTCTTTTCAGTTTCCAATTTAACTTTCTAGATACTTAAAATATTTGGATTTGGTTGATCCATGTCTTTCAAGCAGTGATTTTCAGATGTCTAAATCGGGTCAGGTAAAGCCTTCAAACATTATGTCCTGTCCTTTTTGTGAATTCTGTATGACTATACAAGAAAGACAGAAATCATTAAATAAAAATTTTGTTAAAATATACTGGTCTCAAAACACTGGCAGAAGTAGCCTTTAATTTATTTTACAAGTTAATTTTTGTTACCCTTGTAAACCCGAATATCTGAGACAGGTCTCAGTTAATTTAGAAAGTTGATATGGCCAAGATTGAGGACCTGTGCCTGAGACACAGCCTCAGGAGGTCCTGACAACATGTGCCCAAGGTGGTTGGAGCACAATTTGGTTTTATACATTTTTAGGGAGACATGAGACATCAATCAATATATATAAGATGTACATTGGTTCCATCCAGCAAGGTGGGACAACTCCAAGCAGAGTTGAAGAAGACAGTAACCATTTCGTGCCTTTTAAAAGGGGAGAGAAAACTGAAAATGGTGAGATGCAATAAAAATTAAACTTTGGGTTGAAACAATTAAAATCTCATATAATTTATTAAGAGTCAATCAACCTTTTAAGAAAATTTCATTGTTTCTAACCAATTCTTAGGAAAACAACAACAACAACAAAACCATGAAAGCCTTTTAAATACAAACACACATGCGCGCGCACACGCACACCCACACACATCTTGGATGTTAGCTTTAATTGAAGCTGATTTTTAACCATTGAGGTCCTTTAAAAAAAAAGTTTTTTAAATCTCATTACCATATTTCAGCTAGGATAAATTGCTGCTATTTCAGAAGTACCAAGTATCAAACCAGGAAGGGCTTGATTTAGGAACCAAACCCAGACTGTTGTGGTGAAAAAAAGAAAGCAGAACTTTAGCTGTGGAACGGCAGCTTGGGGAGACAACCATTGCTCTTTCAGTTTGGCCTGGCTACCAAATAGGTGGCCTTGTTATGTAAATAAAGGCCCTTAAGTAGTCAACATCAAAAATCTTTCCTTTTTTTTTCCTTTTGCTGGCTTTCTCCCTTCACCACACTACCTTTTCTTTTGTGTATGTGTGAATTTAGCCACTTCAGAGGACTCCTTCCCCATAATTGGAAGCTTTCCTTTGGAGTTGATCAAGTAGGATATAGAGTTGGTCAAACCCAATAGAAAAAACACTTAAACAATAACAAAAACAGAAACAAACCAAAGTTAAGCAAAACAATTGCACAACTTACACAATTATGGAGTGCTCTAACAGTAAGGCGAAATCAAGACCAGCTGGTTATTAAGCTTAACTTTAGCAATACAAACACCAATTCAGTTACTTACCTAGGGCTGGGTCTCAGGGTGAAGACTGCTCTCTACCATCCTAGATGCAGGAAAAAACTCAAGCTTATTTTCCCTGTTGAACGCCAGCTCAAACTCCATAAAGGAGTTATTTGCCTTCTAACGTCTTGGAAATAGGAAAAACTTGCCTTCTTTGTGTTGGAAGCAAGTAAAACTCCCCAAAAAAGGAGTTGTACAGCAAAATAAACTTTAGATAGTAATCACATTTTAGGAGATCATGGATTCTCCGGAGGGGGTGCTTCCAGGACTCAGCAAATTGTCCTATTGGTGTGAGTCATAAAGACAGCTCAGGCTAGTACCAAATACTGATAGGAGATTTGTCAAAGGTCAAGGGCACCTCCACTCAGAATCCGTTCATGGTTACCAAAATGTGAACCTCGAATATCTGAGACAGTTCTCAGTTAATTTAGATCATTCTGAGCAAACTATTGCAAGGACAAAAAACCAAACACCGCATGTTCTCACTCAGAGGAGGGAACTAAACAATGAGAATACTTGGACATAGGGTGGGGAACATCACACACTGGGGTCTGCCATGGGGTGGGGAGTAAGGGGGAGGGATAGCATTAGGAGATATACCTAATGTAAATGATATACCTAATGTATAGTTAATGGGTGCAGCACACCAACATGGCACATGTATACATATCTAACAAACCTGCACGTTGTACACACGTACCCTAGAACTTAATGTGTAAAATAAATAAATAAATAAAATGAAACCAAGTAAAACAAAAACAAATAAACAATAAAAAAAGAAAGTCTATTTTGCCAGGGTTGCCAACACGTGCCCATGACACAGCCTCAGGAGGTCCTGATGACATGTGCCCAAGATGGTCAGAGCACAGCTTGGTTTTATACTTTTTAGGAAGATGTGAGACATCAATCAAAATATGTAAGATGTACATTGGTTCTTTCCAGAAAGGCAGGACAACTCGAAGCAGGGAGGGGGCTTCCAGGTAAGAGACAAATAGTTGCATTCTTTTGAGTTTCTGTTTAGCTTTTCCAAAGAAGGCAATTAGATATGCATTTATCTCAGTGAGCAGAGGGATGACTTTGAATAGAATGGAAGGCAGGAGGCCAGGCGTGGTGGCTCACACCTGTAATCCCAGCACTCTGGGAGGCCGAGGTGGGCAGACCATGAGGACAGGAGTTCAAGACCAGCCTGGTCAACATGGTGAAACCCTGTATCTACTAAAAATACAAAAAATTAGCTGGGTGTGGTGGTGGGTGCCAGTAATTCCGGCAACTCAGGAGGCTGAGGCTGAAGAATTGCCTGAATGGGAGGCAAGTTTGCCCTAAGCAGTTCCCAGCTTGACTTCTTCCTTTAGCTTAGTGATTTAGGGGCACAAAGATTTATTTTCTTTTCACATCCTTCACTTATTATAACAAGTTAATAAAATCAAAGCCCTCCAAAATCAAATTCTTCCTATGATCTCGAAATATAAAACTAAACCATAAAAAAGACAATTACAACGTATAGCTAAAGCTATAAAGGAAAGGTCTGGCACCACACCTTCCCTTAAGTGTAGGATTTCTTTGACAGAACATGAAAGAAGCTTCAGTCTTAGGCTCTTAGAAGCTGCTCCTTGGGCTATTCTTTGCAGTCTCCTGCTTCACCTTGCACAAACTTAATGGGTTTCTTAGTAGACAAGAGAAAGGGAATTTAGAACAATTGACAACGCCAAACACCACGGAACTATCGGCAAGAGTGAAAACAAACACTAATTCCTAAACACTCAGGGTGTACCATAGGTGTTCCGGTTTTGTGAGGATAAAAATATGACTTGGATGAATTTAGCCTTGATAGTATCCTATTTTCTCCCCTTCACTCAGATGACCTTCTTCTGAAGTCTTTAAGAAAGCAGGCTGTGGCTGGGCGCAGGTGGCTCAAGCCTGTAATCCCAGCACTTTGGGAGGCCGAGACGAGTGGATCACAAGGTCAGGAGATCAAGACCATCCTGGCTAACACAGTGAAACCCCGTCTCTACTAAAAAATGCAAAACACTAGCTGGTGAGGTGGCGGGCGCCTGTAATCCCAGGTACTCAAGAGGCTGCGGCAGGAGAATGGCATAAATCTGGGAGGTGGAGCTTGTAGTGAGCTGAGATCCGGCCACTGCACTTCAGCCTGGGCGACAGAGTGAGACTCTGTCTCAAAAAAAAAAAAAAAAAAGAAAACAGGCTGTAAGAAATCAAGGAAATTAAATCTAATGTTGGTGCACAGAAAGTCCCTGCTACAATTTAGGTGACCATAGGTGTCAGCTTGCTCAGTTTACACCTGTTTGCCCAGTATTGTAACAGGACGAGCCACAGACAAAACCTCTCAGACACTGAGTTAAAGAAGGAAGGGCTTTATTTGACTAGGAGCATTGGCCAGACTCACGTCTCAAAAACCGAGCTCCCCGCAATGATCAATTCCTATCCCACTTAAGGCTTACAACTCTAAGGGGTCTGTGTGAGAGGGTCGTGATCGATTGAGCAAGAAGCCGGTATGTGACTGGGGGCTGCAAGCACTGGTAACTAGAACGGAACAGAACAAGACAGGGATTTTCACGGTGCTTTTCCATACAATGTCTGGAATCTATAGATAACACAACCAGTTAGGTCAGGGGTCAATCTTTAACTACCAAGCCCGGGGCGTGGCACCTGACTATCTGCCTGTGGATTTCATTTCTGCCTTTAAGTTTTTCCTTCTTTCTTTGGAGGTAGAAATTGGGCATAAGACAATATGAGGGGTGGTCTCCCTTAGTATAAATATTGATGGCACTGACTTTGGCTCAAAAATGTGTCATTTTAGATGATGTTCCATGGTCACTTAAGACATAGTCTTTGCTAGTGTAACTGCCTTTGCAAAAATTACAATAATGGCAAAATCATGGCAGTGAAGGAGATCTGATCGGGCTAAATCCCATCTTTCCTTTGGCCTTCAAGCTGCCTTTAATTATTCCTGTGCTTAGGCCAAGATAACTTTGGGAGCCATTTAGTTTATAGTTTAAATGATAATAGCCCTTCCCCAAAACTCAACCACCTTTGTAAAGTTAATGAGACACCACCAGGCGAGGTGGATGGAGAAGCCTGAATTCTGCTAAGGTGTAGATACGAACAGTTGCCAGCCGTTATATACAAGTGGTCACAAGATATGCAACTTCCCCAATTACTCCTGCAGATAGCATCACCATTGTGGAATGTAAAATTAGCCTTTTGAGATATCTTTTCAGGTTTTTTCGCATGTTGGAACACCAATGGCTCCACCTGGACCCACCAACTCCTCCTGTGACCCCACAGAGAAGTGGCTCAGCATGCAAGAGGACCATTCCCACACAGATATGCCTCCAACCAATCAGCAGCAAGCACACATTGCCTAAACCCCCAAACCCCTTCCCCCAAAATACCTTGGAAAAATCCTAGCCCTCACATTCTCTGGGAGACTAATCTGATTGAAAATAAAACTCTGGTCTCCTTTTCAGCTGCCTCTGCAAATTAAACACTTTATCGCAATTCCCCTGCCATGATAAATTGACTCTATCTGGACAGTAGGCAAGAACCCATCGGGCAGTTACACTGGAGCAGCAACAACACCCACTAGAATACCCATGGTAACAGGCATGATGCTGATGTAACAGCTAAAACCAAGGTCTCTTCAAGGTTACCCTTCAGCAATGTTACCTATAGCAACAAGGACAATAGTAGGAGCATTAAAGTATAGAGTTGAGATCAACACTAGTGGCTCCTGAAGGCAGTCTTTCCAAGGCCCTGATTTAGGAAAGCCTGGATCATGCCACAGGAGGAGGAATAAGGGTGAGATATGTTGCCAACTCACTTGTGCGCTGGTGAGGGCTGGAAGACAAGACACTAATTTAAATAGCATGTAGGTCATGGCTGGTATCTGAGAGGGAGAGAGCCTTCCAAGATTTATCTTTATCAATATTTTAGATTTTGAGCATGTGAATCTAGATGTATTCAGGAATGAGAATGACATTCAAATGATATTAAAAACAGTATGCAGAAAATCTAGATGTAAAGAAGAAAAAAATGGCTAAGTATGTTATAGTATATTTTCATTCCAAATATTATACAAAGTAAAATTATTTTGTAAACATTATGACATGAGGTTCTAGTTCAAGAAGGCTGACTAGAGACATCAGATACCAGTTGTCACAAGAGGAACCAAGATTACTTACTTGTAATCATAACTCAAATAGATTATCGAGGGGAAAGTGTTAGAACCTAGTGGAGAACTCCCAGGAAGAAGCTGGGGCACAGAAAAAGAGGAAAGCAAAAGACTGGCAGAAATCAGCTGGGAACCCCAAACAACTGGTATTTCATCAGAAAGATAGGTGGAAATGTTTTGGCTTCCCTCATCCCTGTGGTAGACCTCTGATATCTGAACTGTCAGACAGCTCCTCTACCTTTGTGAGCCCAAACACTGGTATATGCTGGTATAGACAGCAAATTGGTGACTTTCTGAGGGCATTATCAGACTACCAACTCACTACAGGTTACTCACCCTTCCTCTAACTTGGGCAGTGGTGATCCGGCACCATACTTGTGGTGAAGCTATCAGATAACTGTGTCTTACCCAGGGAATATCAGCCGTTGTGTCTCCATATCACAGGAACCCCTGCAGACACTCCCCAGTGCCTGCTCAGATTATGTCAGCTGCAAAGGACTGGCTGGACCTGGGGGAGCTGCAGAATTTCCAGGGGTCTATCCCCTGGGGAGGGAGTCTATCCCTGGGGAGGAAGTGTTGCTCCTAAAAGAAGGGAGAGTGCAGCTTATGAAGGGAGCACTTCTTGGGACAAAGAAAATCAGATCATGTGCTTTTCAG